TTCTGTCTCCCCCATCCCCCACCCCAAATTCTTATGTGGAAATCCTAACCACCATTGCCCCTGTATTAGGAAGTGGGCTCTTTGAGGGGTAAGATTAGGTCATGAGGGTGGACACCTCATGAATGGGATTAGTGCCCTGATTAAAAGAGACCTCAGAGAGCAACCTCGTGGTGACACATGGCAAGGAGCCAGCCTCCCAACAGCCACTGGATCTGCTGGTGCTTTGGTCTTGGATTTCCCATCCTCCAGACCTGTGAGAAATAAACATATGTTGCTTAAATCATTGTCTATGGTACTGTTGGTACAGCAGCATGAAGGGACTAAGACATTTAGCGTGCTGGTTCGTTTCCTGCTTGTTCTCTGCCCTTGTTCCCACCTTTCTGTGCTCTGCTGTGTACTTCGGGGCAGGCTCTAAGACCCAGCAGACTATTCCCTAAACTTCCTCACCAGCTGACTCGGATTAGGTTTTCCCAGTGAGAAGCCCCAGTTGAACGGGAAGGTAGGGAGAGAAGAGAAAAAATCTTCTTCCTGCTTCTAGCTTCTGTTGGCTTTCCTCTAGCCAAAGTGGGGCTGCTGCTGGATCAGGATCTGTGGCACTCCCAGATCGTCTGGTGTGCGACCTCTTTGTTGGTCCCAGCACCAGCACCTGAAAACCTTTTGTGGTACCTCCCCCAGGTTCTAGCCCCTCCTTTAGAGTTCCAAGCTATTGGTAACACTATCTTCTCCATTCTGTTTTGTTTTCCCTTTTTTTTTTTTTTTTTTAAAGATTTTATTTATTTTTCTGAGAGAGAGAACACAAGCAGGGGGACAGGCGGGGCAGAGGGGGACAAGCAGACTCTCTGCTGAGCAGGGAACCCGACTCGGGGCTCGATCTAGGAACCCTGAGATCATGCCTTGAGCTGAAGTCAGACACTTACCCAACTGAGCCACCCAGGCACCCCTCTATTTTGTTTACCTAGACTTACCCTGGTGTTTATGGGGGATTGTGCCCCACCCCTCCAAATTCATATGTTGAAGTCCTAATCCCCAGTACCTCAGAACATGACTTTTATTTGGAGATAGGGTTCTTAAAGAGGTAGTTAAGATAAAAAGAGGTCATTAGGGTTGACCCCAATTCAATGTGACTCCTGTTCTTATATGAAGGGAGATTGGGACCCAGATACACATAGAGGGAAGACCATGGGACCAGATGACCATCTACAAGCCAGAGAGAGAGGCTTCAGAAGAAGCCAACCCTGCCGACACCTCGATCTAGGACTTCTGACTTCCAGAACTGTAAGAAAAGAAATTGTTGTTGCTTCCGTCACCAGGTCTGTGGGATTTTGTGAGGCAGGGCTAGCATACAACTTCAACTACATCAATTTATCTCTAGGTTAACCCACAGTCCGTACTCGGCTTTCTCAGCCCTCTCTATGTGGCCAATTTCTTAAATTTCCCCTTTGAAATACCTGGAATAGTTTTGTTGTCATAAAACACCTAATACATATCCTAAGTGTATATATCTCAAACCTAAAAGCCTTTTGGGAAAACAGATATTGACAGAAGTTTAGGGTGATTTTCCTTTTTTTTTGTAATTAAGAAATTGTACCTAATTTTGAGAGCTCTTTAAGAAAAACAAAATGCTCATTTTGGAAAATCAAACACATATTTAATGCTTCTTTTTTTTTTTTTTTGGTCTTATTTTGTTTTGTTTTTGCATCTAACCTTAGTGCCTTAGTGGGCCTTAAATTTCCTTTTCTCACTTTACATTTAGAGCCCTGCTAACTGCTTCCTCGGAGTGTACATAATTAAATGGCCTTTCGCCACCTATCTAAGCAGTTTGGGCTCAGTCCCTATCCTTGTTTTACTTTGCCTAATAAAAGTTGGCTGAAGGGAGTATGGTGTGGCCAGCCTTGATAATGAGATAAATTTTGCCATAGTCCTGCCCACTCTCTGACTTGGATAACTCCTACCAGTTCCTTTAGTACTTAGCCTCTAAAACTTTTCATGATATCTCCTCCCCTGAACAATGTGTTATAGGCTAGGATCCTCAGGATACCGATTCTGAGATAAAGGGGTTTTGTGGGGAAATGCTCTTGGGAACAACTGCTGTAAAGGAGCAAGGAGAATCGGCTGGGGAGAGGGAGAAGGTGAAGGGCATTGCAATAGCCTTCTCAACTAACCCTTGGGGCTGGAAACTGAGATATAGCTTCAGAGAGATCCTGCCTGGGCCATGGAATGTGGCTGGGGAGGATGCCTGACCTTAGTGAGGCAGCTTCCTCAGTAGAGGGCAGAGGGATCCAGGTGTGAGCTGCCATCAAGCAAGGCTTCTAGTAGCTGCAGGCTGAGTGCCTCGGTGCCCAAGGGGGATCAGGGTGGCACACCGTGGCATCCACAGTGATCGGTCTAGAGAAGGTTCTCAGGGACTCAGGGTGCCATCATTACGTATTGTGATAGTACGTTCAGGTGTCTGTCTGAGCCTTTGGGCTCCTTGGGGCCAGGGGTACCTTATTACCTCATTTGTTGTCTCTCCGGCATCCAGTAAGCACATGGTATACAGGAGGCACTAATCAATGTTGAATTTAGTGGAGGAGACATGTTTACTTGTTTTACCCAGTCATGGCAGTGGGCGGGGAATTTAATGTGGCATGCTACCCTCCGAGACTGGAGTTAAGTCTTATTTTCAGTCCCATTTTGGAGAGGCTTTGTGACTCAAGTGGTAGAATAAGAACCCTGGAGGACACCTTTCGGGCAGAGTGGAAACCTGAAGGTGTGCGGGGTGAATCGCTGATAAACTGGAAGAGACAAACACACGGAGAATGAGGAGCGCAGGGCAGCGGCGGCTGCGCTCTGGGCATTGTATCGGCGTCAGCTGCTCTGTATTCACAGGCACGACTTGGGGCGCCGGGCAGTGCAGGCTTTTGTTCTGCCACCGCTGCTTCCAGCAGCCCCCGAAGTCCTCTGGCCTCTGACTCCGCCGCGGAGTCAAGGAAGAGAAAGAGTTGAAAGGCGGCAACATCAACAGGAAATAAAACATTTTTATTGAATATCCATGTAATATGTTAAGTCATTTTTAACAACAATCAGAAAACTATTGTGGGGTCACTACACAAAGTGAAACAAAATTTAAACCACTTCATCAAAAACGAAGGTAAATACAGCTAAAGTAGTTGGCTCGCGGGCCACGAGCCATATGGCAGAAGAGAACACCCCAACATTTCTACAAGATACAGAGAAAACCCACACATAGAAACACTCAAGCAGGCAGTAAATATACACAAAGGCAACTAGGATCTTTCTAGAGCATCAGCTTCTAATAGTTTACACAGCTTTGTCAGAAAGGTACATGTGGCGTGTCTGAGGATGAATCTTGGTCTTAAAGCAGGTTCAGTCACTGACTGGTGAAACATGGCATAGTCCCAACTGAGGCTATGGTGACAATCCCATGTCTGGCAGTGTTGCAAGAGAATGCATTAGTAGTACTTTAATGTGAGAAATAATGTGTGTTCGGCAGCTTGAACCTGCTTGCCTGAAAGTGTTGTTTCAGTGTGAACAACTTAAAGCTGAATACAGTGAAATTAAATGTCTGTTTCTGATGTTGAAAGAATTTTTAAAAGACAGTCGACTCCCTCTCTTTGGTAGAGTTTGGTCTCTTAAATTGGAAAGATTCTCATTTGACTCTTCTGTTCAAACTGATATGAAATCTCACATCATGACTTGTGCATCTTCTATTATCTTTGTTTTTTTTTGTTGTTTTTTTTTTTGTTTGTTTTTTAAAGTATGGACCATCCACAGAAGAGAGAGAGGTTATACTCCCTTGTCCTTTGTGTCTGGCCCAGTCCTGACGAGTTTGCCTGTGGTGACTGGGCTGAAAGGCCAAGGGCTTGCCTCTTCTTTGATGAGAAAAGAAGAATGACAGGAATTCTAGTTTTATCAGGAAACAGCCAGGCCGGTGCAGTGAAGCCTCCCATCAGCCCTTTTTTGAATTCTCTGTAGTTTTTGAAAAACGTGGCATGGTATCCTAAAGTCTGAACACGAGGCTAATGCTTGGTTTTCCTCCGTCTTGTTTTGGTATTCGTGAAGACAAACTTTCACCTCAGCGCGTCACTGCTGTCTGTGGCCTAGGAGCTGCGATGGGCCACGGAAGTGCGTGGATGCAGCGTGAGCTAATCGGCTGCCCTTCCACAAAGCGGTCGTCTACCAGAGTGGGGAAAAACAAGGAGGATTGCACAGTGCTTGACAAAATGCTGTGTGTTCCACCCCAGTCTATGTATCTTTCTTGTCCTATGCATAGCTTTTCAGTTCTGAATTGGTCCTTTGTAATGAGAACTGTTTGTGCTACACACACCTTGGGCAGTGCAGTAGAAGGGAATGGCAGTATTGTTACAACATCACTACGGAATAAATTGAGTGCTATCCACTGAGGAAACTACGTGTCTAAGCACACACGGCAGTCACAGTGTTACACAGAGCAGTCCTTGAAGACTCTTATGGAATGACTAGTAGCTTCATAATAGTGCCATTTACTACATAATGACATTGAGAACATTAAAAACTCCTCCTAAATCAAGCATCTAGTATACATAAGAGGTTGCTCCAGTTTGCTAGAACTTGTTCTTGGTATTGTTTCACCTTTTTTTTTTTTTAAAGGACAAATTAAAACTTATTTAAGTAAAAAGAGCTTATAAAAAGATCACTAGCTGTTTTGGCTTAATTGAAGTGCATTCAGAACTATGGCTAATTGTTTATTTTTTCATCTTTTGATGGGATTACAATACTGTTTACCACAAAGTAATTTTGTGTAATAAGCACAGATTGCTGTGTTAAAAATATTCTGCATTCCTTCTAATATGGTTTTGTATAATAAAATATTTTGTTACAAAGTCTAATGTGCAAACCTTTTGGAATTATTATAGGTATGAAATCTGGAACAGAATTCACAGGATGCACATTTGTATAAAGGTGATAACGGAGAGCTACTTTTTTTTTTCTTTTTAAATAGTCAGGCAATATTTCAGAAATGCTGAATTCTCAGCTTCTTCCCACCCACCCCGTCCCCAAACAAATGCACCCACACACCCATACACCCACACCCACACCCCCCACACATACATACACATGGAACACCGTCGCATTGTTACTCTATATGCAGTAATATGAAATCTTGGACTCCTGTTCAGTTGCTTCCTTGAATGTAGGAGTGAAGCCCTGGTTTTAGCTTTGTAGATGTGTACAGACAGATGCTGTTCTGCTTTGTGGCTATGCTTCCTGGAGGTCAGTCTGGATGCTGTTTAGATCATGCTAATTTGCCTGTGAAGAAATTCTACAAAATTGGATTCACCCACCAAATATGTGGTGTCAGTGTATCTTGGTTCTCAAATGATCGGTAGAAAGCTCAGGTTTAAGTTGTCCTTTAAGATGTCAGTTTGACTGTACTAGTGCCTTACAAGTTGATATTTTTGCTGGAATGCAGACAATACTATATTTACCATATAATATATTATCAGCTCTCCTATATTTCAGTCAATTTACATAATTTAAAATAGAACATCTTATTAAAAACATCTAGATATACACAGATTAGGAAACGCTAACAACATACAAATACACAAACTAGAAATAAATCTTCAGCATACTGGTATATACAACAGTGTGATACAATAAATAATTTCAGTCATGCTCTATCTACACATCATATTGCTTAAAAGAAGAGTAGATTTGGAGGGCAGTGGCATGATGAAGGGCTTAGGGGCTCTCTACGTTTAAATTTGTGCAAATTAAAACAGGAATTGAAGTACCACAGAATTGTGTTAGGAATGCATGGCTGGATAGATGAAAGGACCCATATTACTGAGGTATTTACAGATACTGGCTAAAGAGCACTATGTGGGCAAACGCAGAAAGGCTTCTTTCCTTTACTTCTTGACCGCCAGCATGGCGTCAACTTCCTCCTCTACCTGTAGGGTGTGCCACTGGGCAATGGGTCGCCTGGGGTTGGCCAGCATGTCTGACCAGTGTCGCAGCTCTGCCCCGGTGCTATTGTAGCCCACAAAGACTTTGCCGATGGCATCGTTCTTGCCAATCTTGTCATAGTCCAAAACAGTTACCACCACTTGCACTTTCTGCAAGAGGACACAAAAAAAACCATTAATCACCCCGTCCTCTTACAAAGCTGTCTTGAGATCGAAACCACTGGAAATAAGACCCAGTCTCAAAATACCAGGCCGAGACTGAAAATGACTCGAATGTGAAAACCTGAGTGCAATCCCTATTTCAACATTACGTCACCACCATCACTGTCTTCAGCTTCTCCAAAATACTGAATAAATGTTAAATTTTGTTAGGTATTTGGCACAATTCTAAGTCTTTTATGTGAACTACTCATTTACTTCTCATAATAGATCCTATTAATATTGCCATTACACAAAGAAGATGCCGTGAAGTTCCCGGCCTGGGGTCGTGCAAGGAACGAGTGGGCTGGTTTTCACAGTCTATGCCGTAATCTACCATCCCTTCTGTCTTTGTCAACTGTGTCCACCTCTAAGTCCATTTGTTTCAACTGTCTCATCAGCAAGATTTCTGGCATTGGTATTTGGTACAATAATCACATGATTATTGTGAGTATTAAATGTGACAATAGAGTGAAACATCTTTAAAAAGTAATAACTAAAGATAATTTCCCCATTTATACATTTTCTCAATAAACATTTGCTGAGTAACTGTTGCGTATCCAGCGCTGATCTCAAATGGAAATAACCTTTTAGCCACACAAGATTTACTTCAGTTGTTCCATTACACTGTGAGAGTTTATTTAATAACTCACTTTTTAGAACTGCCTGAATTGACGAAAGGAAACCCATGCCATTATGATATGAAAGACACACTTTTTGAAAGCACATTTTAGTACCGCTTCCGAAGTAATGGATTAGTCAAAATATGTGAAGGCTCTAATCTAGAAACTGAGTGCAGGGATAAAGGAAGAGCTTAGAATAAAGTAGAATGCATAACATTTGGTGGCCAGAGTTAAAAGGAACAGAAAATGGAATGATGGAAGCCAGGGCCAAATGAAGGTCCTGCTGAGTTCTGGCCCTTTCATGGACTTTGTACTCTGAGGACTGCATTATTGCCCCAGTGTACCGAGAGATGGCACCCATGGACAGCTTCACAGCAGAGAAAATAACCACTCTTGAAAGTGGAATTTAGAATGTAAAATTTAACACATTGGCAATAAAGGAAATAAACCTCCTTCCCTTATGCAGCCTTGGATTGATTCCATTATCAAGGGCATCATCTATCCACTGGATGGTTTTGGAAAAGAGAACAGAATCACTTTGGTTCTCAGGAAAATTCTCAGAGCTTCTCCCAAGCAAATTCATCAGGAATAAAGCATATTGCAGGGAATGGGGAGTAGCTTTTGTTCTCAGGAAAATTCTCAGAGCTTCTCCTAAGCAAATTCATTAGGAAGAAAGCATATTGCAGGGAATGGGGAGTAGGAGCTAATTACAGACATTATGCACAAAGGTGAAACGGGCTTTTTGGAGGCTGGAGTGAATGGTTGGAGTGGGTTTTGATTATTTCAACCAGGAATGTACTGATTAATTGTACTCAGGACAGAATATCCTTCTGAAGGTCTTAGATTAATTTTTGCAGCTGTATATGTAGTTTATTTATACATTTGGGGGGTATAACATTTACATGTACTTTTGGAAATCAGCATATTTTGCTCATAATGTATTTCATAGGGATAGAGAGAGAAAACAGATAATCTTATAACCTCAGAATAAAGGAAACCCAGACCCCTATTTTAGTACATAAAATGTTCAACTGTTTCTCTAGGAAAACTAGGAAAGCAAATCTCCTGGGGAAAACTAAAAAAGAGAAGAGAGGAAGAAGAAAGAAAAGAACAAACTGACAAGAAACAGAGAAAGAGGAGGGATATAGTCAGAGATGGGCTCATCATTGCTATGCCTAAAAGTACTCTACGATGGGTTCAGGTTCTCTGTCCTGACAGAATACTAGCTAGCTCCTCTAAAATGCTGCCCCAGAAACCCAGCGTATGTCTTGTTTTTAATGTGCTTCACTTATTTTTAAGATTTTATTTATTTGAGAGAGAGAGAGGGTGCGCATGGGCCACGAGCTGCTGGTGTGGGGGTGGGGGGGGCGGTGTGCTGGGCAGAGGGAGAAGCCAGCTGGCTCTCTACTGGGCAGGGAGTCTGATGCATGACCTAGCCCAAGTCAGAGGCTTAAGCAATTGAGCCACCTAGGCACCCCCTTCAGTTTTAATATATTTACATTTGCACAATTTATTGTTGCAAAAGGACATTTACTTTTTTTTTTTTTTTTTACAGGTGTAGAATTGTAGCTCAAAGAAAGTTTACGATAGGATTTTTCATCACAATAACTTGTCTTAAATTGTTTTACAGTATTAAAAAACAAAGCTCAGGGTGCCTGGATGGCTCAGTTGGTTAAGTGTCTGTCTTCAGCTCAGGTCATGATCCCAGAGTCCTGAGATCAAGCCCCACATTGGGTTTCCTGCTTGCCTGGAAAACTTCTCCCTCTCCCTGCCATTCCCCCTGCTTGTGCTCTCTCTCTCTGTCAAATAAATAAATAAACTTAAAAAAAATAAAATAAAAAACAAATCTTCAGGAGGTATTAGTTTCCATAGGAGTAAGTTCTTAGAACTCAAGAGTTCACTGAATAAATATTGCAAAATAAATTGGAGAAAATTGGGTGTCTTTGGGGGTTGCCAGTTGGTCTAAAGCAGTGACCTCACTAGTTCTGGCTAGTAAACAGGTGACTGGGGACAGGGAATCAGTGTCCTCTGCAATGTCATTTACTTATATAACAACTGTTGAAAGTAAACATATGTAAATTGCTACCATGTGAAAATATACATGAGAAAGGTTATATAAAGACCATGAAGTGTTGGTAGATTGCCGTTGATTTTTAAAGAACTGCCCCATACAATACAATAAGTACTCCTGGCAACATGTAGCTATTTAAATTGAAGTAAATTAAAATTAATAAAATTTCTTGATCACACTAGTGGCTGAGGTGCTCATTACCTACTTGCTGTTGACTACTGTATTGGACCACACAGATGATAAAACATTTCCATTCTCACAGAGAGTTCTAGTAGACAACACTGGTCCATATATTGTTTTAATTTTATTATTAGATCTATTTTCTAATAAAGTGTTAATTTGAAAAAGACAAAATTAATACTGTGAATAATAATGGTGATGGGAACTATTTACTGAGCGTTCACCATTCCAAATGATTTCATATGCATAATCTCTTTGATGTGGATTCTATTATTCCTATTTTATATGTAAGGAGATTCTAAGCCTTGGTTTCCTTATATATAAAATTGGGATAATAACCTCTCTCATAAGGTTATTGTAAAAGACTTAATGAGATTATCTATGTGAAGTGCTTAAATTGGGGCCAGACACATAATAAGTATACAATAAATGTAGTTATTATCTTAGCTTTCTTCATGGAATAAAGGTGTGATTTGCTCATAAGATATTATATTCTAAATTAGATTCTAGATTAAAGTAAAAATATGTAACTAAAGAATATTTACTGGTGTTTTATATTCTGGACCTTTAGAAATTTCCATGGTGTAGTTTTAGTGCCTACACTTCATTTATCCTTCACGTTGTGGGGAAACTTTTATAGGACCAAAAAGATAGACCTATATCAATTATTTAATAAAATGTAAAAGTACTGTTGCTTTAAGGCATTTGAGTTTCTAACATCCAATATCCATTAAAGATTAGCAAGAAATAGCCAATAGTTATTGGATGTGAACTTTGAGTTCCAGTAGTATCACTGTGGCTAGAAGGTAAGAGAACCTAAAATTATTTAAAAATTGCTAAATAATAAGATCATATACTATTATTGTGGCTACATGTAGCATCCTGTTCTGAACATCTTACCCACAGATTCCTTTAATAGAATATTCCCTATTATAACAATCATTATCTAGCAAATTAAGGTTTCGTCTTTACAAAAATATCCTTCCTTTCCAACTCAGAAACAGGAAGTTAAATATAAGCTATTAAAAATATGACTTAGTTTGATTTTTCTATTGTTAATCACAATTTAATAGTAAAAGAGTAAAGATGATGCATATTTATCATCAACTAAAATTTTTTTTTTTTCTTTTTTTCTTTTCTATTGAATTTTTTTTGTTTTTTTTTGGCTATAAGGCTGTGATAAGGAGAACTCCATATTGTGGCCTGGGAATGAATAGTGAAAGTTCATTTTCTTTTGGCCTTTTAACATTTATGGTACTTTTTGAGTTAGCAGAATCGTTGTGTTGATTTTCTTTTTCTTACTTTATTTCTGCTCAACCGAATGCCAGCTGTTTTTGGCTGATGAGTCAGCACATCTTGTGCTGTATATTTCATCATTTCCTTCTTGATGTAGCTTGATTATCAAGTGTGCATGGGAATAAGAATGGCAAATCTAATGAAGGCATGTGCACAGATAATTTACAAGGTTTGTGCATTTCATTTATGCGGTCTGAAGAAATAAAACTGAATAGGAAGACAAAATTATGTTTGACATTACCTGGATTTGCTCAAAGGGTACTTCAAAGCTGAATGACTCATTGTAGTAGGGGTTAAGTGTGTTCTTTTTAATTGTTGTCTTTTTCTTCTTCAGCCTCTTGCCATTCTGCATCAGATGGATCTTCACATAAGGATCTGAAAAACAGAAACAAAAACTTCAGGAGATCAAGAATAAATAGTTTAGACTATAATTTAGCTTATTAAAAAAACTCGAGTATTCCCAACAGGAAAATCACTCTATAGCGTATATTTAATATATTTTTTTAATGTAAGCATTCTTTATTGAAAGATTTTAAGCAACCTCTGGGCCAGGTTTTTTGCCATGCTGTCTCAATATTTATAGCTGGATTTAGGGGATAAGAGCCATAGTGTGCTAACAAACCAGCAATTTGAGGGGGGTTGGGGAACAGTCTTGACATGTAACATTTGCCAGTGTCCTTGGTAGAAATACTCTCAGCATGGCTAATTTCAAGCTACTAAATAGTTTAACAACTAGCTTACCAAATCCCTGAAAATACTAATAATTGGCTCTTCTGAGCTGGCAAAGTAGTAGTTGCAGCACCACTGCATGGGAGTAAAACTCTTGACAAAAGGACAAAGGAGCCATTTCATGCATTCATTTATTCATTTACTCAATATTAGTTAGGCCCTAGGGATACAGCAGCAAATAAAACCGATCATTGCTGTTTTCATGAGGGAACTTCAGACTCGTGGGGGGAGGGAGACAGTAGGCTTGTAAAGAAATGAAATGCATATGAAATTACAAGTTGAAGAGAGTGCTCTAGAAGAATAGAGCAAGAGCAGAGATAGGTTTGAGAAGAGCAGGAATAGTATGATGAGCCTAAGGTAGCAATGGAATTCTTAGATTGCTCAAGTAAGGGTTCTCTGTGGAGGTAACATTTAAACTGAGATTTGAAGGTTAAAGGGAGAGAAGAGGCTGTGTGTGTGTATGTGTGTGTGTGTTTATGTGTGTGGTGTGTGTGCAGTGATGGGTGGGGTGTAGGTGGCAAGGGCAGAGAGAAAGAAAGAGAGAGATCTATTGATCCAGGACCTATGCCCGAAAATCCCTAGGTAGAGAGTAAGTCAGTGCACATAGAGGTAATGAGAAAAGGAGCAGGATTCCCTCAGCAGTTTCTCCAAAGCCTCATTTAGTAAAGGTAAAGTAATAAGCAAATCAATGGAGGGGTAAGACAATTCTCGTTTACAGTTCTCATTACTAATGGATGAACCACCTACCTTCAGGTTACTAAGAACCAACACCCAGCTCTGACAGTAACATCTTTCCACTGTTTTCTTAAGTATTTGTCCGGTTTACATGTGATACATATTCATTATAGAAAAACATCAGAAAACAATGATAAACAAAGAGAAAAAAAAAATCATCCATGATTTTATTCCCTTAAAATAAGCAGTGCTAAGCTTTCTAAAATTGCCTTCCTCTCCTTCAGTATGTGTAAAGCTTGGAGAAACTTTACAGATAACCTAGTTTAACAGCCACGTATTTTTAGAGAACAACATTTTCTGGTCTGTAATTTTTTCAGCACAATAAAATTCTGGTTTATTATTGGAAAACGTTGTTTACACATACATCAAACAGGCCAAAACCGGCAGCAACTTCATAGACAAACAAATAACAAAATTAAAAAAAAAAAAAAAAA